TCTGGTCGCTTGATTCTTTTTCCCCCACCCGCTTCCAAAAAAACAAAACAAAAAAAAAAGCCAACAACTCTGTTTACATTCCTGAAATGCCAGAGAGGTTTGGGAGGGTACCGTATGGCTGCCCATATTTAGATGCTTTATGCTGCTATAGAAAGCGGATTGTTGTGGGTTTTTTTTTCCCCCCCTTTCCCCACCACGTTTCACTTCAGGCAGTCGGAAGGCGCCCGGTGCAACGTTTTGTAATATCCACATCCCTGACAAATCCCAGAGCCACCTTGATGCATTCAGAGACAATAAATATTTCCCTTTTCTTCTGCTGGTTAAACAATAGCCAAGGGGCTGAATCTTCCTGTGTGGAGCAGCTCCTGCTGACTCGGGGTGGCTTTCAGTGTTTGCGTTTCCCTGCCCATCTCTCGTGGCTCCCGAGGGCTGCGCAGCCCCGCAGTGCCGTGGCAGTAGGGCTGGGTGCCTCTGACTGGGGAGCAGTTCTCCCCTCTGCTCCCGTTGCCCCCTCCGTTTGCTTTCCTCTAAACTCCATTGCAGCTGAACCCAGGTTTGGGGATGTCGGGGGGGCCGTTCTGTTGTATTTTTTTTTTTAGTTGATGTAGAGCAGGTGTCCTCGTGTCCTCGCGCATTGATTTGAGCATCTCTGGCCGTTCGAAAGCACAAATCTGTCCGGCAGGCCCCGAGGGCCCGGGGTTGGGGGAAAATTGGCCTTTTCCATCCTTTCCTATTGGCCCGAGGAAGCTCTTCAACGCTTCCTGGTCTGGGGGCTGCACAGAAGCTGAAAGCACATGGGGCCCAGTGGGGAGATGGGGCTCGGCGAGGAGCCTCCCTTCAGCCCAATGGGAGAGCCACACTCTGCCTGGCCGTGCCCCTCTGCCCTTCCATTTTTGGGACCGTTGCCTTTGTCAGATGACGTAGCGAGAGGATGCTGTATTGACTGTACAAAGGGAGCCGTGTCTGTGACTTCTTTTATTTTTTGTTGTCGTCGTCGTTTGTTTTGTTTCTTTGTTTTGTTTCGTTCCAAGGCATATTTTGTAAAATGGAGATTTTTTCCCTCGGTTTGTGTGCTGGGATCGGTGCTGGGGCTCAGCAGCTGCGGGCTGGGATTGAGGATGGACGGAGCCTCCCTCCCTCCACCTGCAGAGGTGCTGAAGGCTGAGAAATGTGCGAAATGCCGGGGCAGGGCTCTGCCTCCCGCAGCCCCGTGTAACACGTATATAGAGCAAGCCGTACATGTGGGTGTATATGTGTGTATGTATATAGCGACGTATATACTGAGCGTGTGCGTGGGGGTGTGTGTGCGTGAATTATTTAAATCTAAGACTTGTATAAAAACAAACAAACAAAGATTTGGCTAAATCTCAGTCTCAGAAAAGTGAAGCTTAACTTACGTGTCTTCTGCCAGCCGTGAATGTCCGTATGAGACCTGCTTTTTATGTGAGTTTAAATATATACTTTGTAAATAGAAACGTGTCTTTCTCCCGTTTGTGGCCGGAGGTGAGCAGAGGAGGGAGCCGTGGGGGGGGCAACGGAGCTGCGGGGCTCCGACGGGGCGGGCGGTGATGTGCGTGGCCGGGTGCGGCCGTGCTGGGCACGAAGGCTTCGAGCGGGCAGCGGGGTCCGAGCCCGCACCGTTCCCGCAGAGCAGGGCCGGGTGCGGGGAGAGCCGGGCGGCTGCGACGGGCACGGATCGGCCCTCCGACGGCGCGGGATGCGGGCGGTGCGATGCGGGGCCGTGTCCGGACTGAGCCCGGCCTTTGTATTCAAATCTCCCCCGGCCGCGCAGCTGGGGGGGAAGCGAGAGTTGGTTTTGGTGTTTTTTTTTGTTTTGTTTTTTTCTTTAATTTTTTTTTTTTTTCTTTTTTAAAGCTGTGTCCTCATTAACCTCCTTTTTCTGCTCCGCTGGGTGAAAGGCGCAGACCCCCTTATTATCAGAGCTGTCAGCATCTTTGCGCGGAAAATGAGTGTCAAGTAGGAGCGGGAGAAAGGTTCGCACAATGGCGCCTTTCTCCCCCGGCCCAGCGGGGGGGACCCTTTCACACGGGCGCGGCGGGGCCCCGGGCCGGGGCGGTGCGAAGGGGGTGGGGACGATCCGCGGGGGGCGGGGGCGCGGCCGGAGGAGCCCCGGGGCACGGCCCGACGAACCCGGACGCCGCCCCGTAACCGGGCGCTGCCTCTCCGCCCCGACGGCGGCCCCTCGACGGCGAAGGCTGGGCGTGGGCAATGCCCGTCTCGGGGCTGCCTCGCCCCCCTCCCCGCCGCGGCGGCTGAGATGGAAGGATGGGGCCGGTGCTCGTCTGCGGCCGCGCAGCGCCCTCCGCAGGCAGCCCGTGCTCGGATCCAGCACGTGTGGGGCGCGGGTCGTGCTGAGCCGAAGCACCTGAGGGCCCCGGGTCTGGCACAGCTCCATCTCCATTCCCATCCCTATCTCTATCCCTATCCTTATTCCTATTCCCATCCCCATCCTTATTCCTATTCCCATTCCCATTTCCATCCTCATCTCCATCCCTATCGCTATTCCTATTCCTATCCCCATCCTCATCTCCATCCCCATCCTCAGCCGCCTCGCAGCAGAGCCCGGAGCGCCGCGCTCATTCCCCTGGTGGGCAGGAGCTCCTCGCGGGGAGGCGGTTTCACCTCCCCGTTCCCTTCAGCCCTGTGTCCCCCTCGCTCAGCGTGGAGTGCAGAAGCTCCGATCCCTCCCGCAGCCTTCGGCCGCCCCGCTCCGCCCCCCCCCCCCCCCCCCCCCCCCCCCATTTCCGTACCCCCAGGGCAGGGCGGTGCTCGTAGAGCGGAGACCACAGCAGGCTGAAAAGTGACAATAAATAAAATAATAATAAAATACTGACCTGCCCCCCCCCCAAAAAAAAGAGCAGTGGAAAAGTTATACTCATTAAAACAAAAACAACCAAAAGCTAAACTAAAAAGAATCCCCCACCCGACGTGCCACCTCCTGGTGTTTTCCTGGCAATAAATTACAAGGAGCCTAAAGATCCCGGGGTCTGAAGCAGCACCGGTCCCGGAGCACCAGGACAGGACACACATAGGAAACTGAGTGCCATGGCACAGGGAGACCCGACTGCCTGGTGAGGAGGGGGGTTGTGACAGCCCCTGGGAGCCCCCACAGCGCCCAGCAAAGCCTCTGAGCATTCCCTGGGCGATTCCATCTCCAACTTTTGTTGTCAGTATAGAAAAGCAAACAAGCAGTTGTAGCTGAAAGCAGTCAGAAGCGTCATACAGGAATGATTTGGCTCTCTCTTTAATTAAAACGTACAAATCGTGAGTTACAACAACAGTTTGTTTTCACCCATCCCTCAGCTTCTCTCAGTAAAACCCTTCTCTCCACCTCCGGAGCCCTTCGTGCTCAGATCAGAGTTCAGAGCAGATGGAATCCTCCAAAAGCATCCCCAACCCTCCGCCAACTCCATTTATTTTTTGGTACAAAATATATATATAAAAATATACTAAGCTTCTAAGGACGGCGGCTGCGTCGGCCTCTCCTTCCAGTCCAATGGAAAACAACAAGCATCCTTAACCAGATTATGCCCGGAGAAAATATCCATTCAATATACAAATACTGCAGGACTTTCCATGTCGGAAAGCCCTTAAGAAATGCCAAGTGACAAACCTTTAATTGCTTGTTTGACGTACAACTGAACACTCAAACCCATAGCAGCAAACTCCAAATAAAAAATAGGAAGGTAGACCTTGAATACTAATGGCACTGAGTGGTGAATGTGGCTCCGTCCACCAAAGCTGTGCTCGGTCCCACGAGACCCCCCATGGGAAGCAGCCTCCAGCACGGACCTTCTGCTCAGACACACGTGAGGTCAGGAGGGAAATGGCAACAGGGGGTGGGATGAGATGAAGACAAAACTCTAGATGATAATTCTCACCGTCCTTACACCTTTGGAATTGAACCGGCTGGTGAGCAGAAAGGCACAAGAGCAAAAGCAGGGATGGCAGAGACCTGCTGCCACCGAGGGGACACGGGGATGGTGGGGATGGCAGCCCCATGCCCCAGGGAGGAGCATCCCCATGGGCTTCCCCCTGTGAGCAGCCATGACACGGCGTCACGGCTCGACCGGGTGTCCCCCACTGGTGTCACAGCTGTCCCCAGGACCCTGGCGCCACCCAGCTTTGCATAGGCACAAACCTGTTGTAGGAGTGGTGTCACAGACACAGAAGTAAGGACGGTTGCAAAAAGGCACATGGTCGTTCAGTTTGGATTTGCAAAGGCCAAATAGCAAACATTTGGTGTGTGGGGCAGGGAGCCCCAGGTGTTACAGGGATACAGGTGCTGGCATCTCCTTGCAGTGCCATCTGCAGCAATGCCAGATGCCAGCTCTGCGAGCACAGCAGAGCCTCAGAAGCATTTCCCATGGGCGTACCCACAGACCTGGCAGGCTGCAGGCTTTGTGCCATCTCCAGAGCAGGAGTTTGGCATTAACAGAATGAAAATGACCCCAAACGCTATTAAACTCTGCCTGAACTACTGCTGTTAATTTTGGCTCGTAACAATAATCTATAGCAGGGAAAAAGACCTCACTCACTAGGAAAGCCATTATTGGTTGTGATTACAAGCCCAAGGGGCTGGCACAGGATGGGAGGTGGCCGTGGGATGCCACCAGCTCCCCTGCTGCCCTTCCTGTGCCAGGCAGTGTGGGCACCTCACAGCCTGGGAAACACAGGGCTGATGGGCACTGCCCAGCTTGGTCCCTGCGAGCTGCTGAGCACGTGGTGCCAGGACAAGGAGTGGTTTGGGGGCTGACCTGATGTCTGTTCATCTACATTTCGTTTGTGCCCCTCCCTCTAAAGAAAAGATTTTCCCTTAAGAAGAAATGTAAACAGTTTTTCCTTCTCTGCTAGAAACCGCAACAGAGATGTCGCAGCCTTCACTGTCATTGGAACTGACCTGGCCCAGGGGGGTGGCTGGGCTTCCCGTACCCTGAAAAACCCCCATCCTGCAGCCCCCGCAGCCCTGAGGTGCTGGGAGCTGTCTCGTTTGGATCATGGCTGCTCTGGTAGCTTGGGCCGCCCAGAAAAAGGAGAGCTGCCCTCTTCTCTCCCAAGCGTAAGCCTGGCACCTCCCCTCTGCCCCTCTCCCTGCTGCCAGAGCCCCGTGCCACACACTGGCATCTCAAGCCATAAAGCAAGTGAACTTCATGTAGTGAAGCCTGGCTCAGAACTTGCCAGCTGTCACCTCCCAGTGCCTTTGCTCCTGGCCAGTGGCACTGGCTCGGATGGATGGAGGAGGCAGGGAGGGCCCACCTCATCTGCTGGCACTTCTGTACAGGCTTCACCACCTTTCCCGACCCTCTGCACACAGCTTCCAGTGGGTCCTGGGGGTGTGAGGGGCTGCAGGTCCGAGCTGGCACTGCCTGCAGTGGAGGGGCACGGGGCTGGTGGCAGGAGGTCATCGCGTGAGTCCCTGCCGTGGGGCAGTACCTAAAGAAATGAAAACCTGGTGGGAGAGCTGGGCAAGGGCGAGGGAAGCTGAAGGACGTCTCCCTCCTCTCCGGCTCCCCAGCTCAGTATTGCCGGACATTGAAGAACCCAACGCTGGTGGGGGATTCCTTGACCGTCACTGTGATCAGGTTTGCGGTGACATCCGTGACGAAGACGTGCTCGATCAGGCTGCGGGTGGGCTTCCAGTCCTGGCTGGTCTGGATGGAGACAGACATGTTCTGACCCACGCTGGGAAAGGAAGCCGAATCCCGATCCGAGTCCGAGCTGCTCTCGTCGCCTGTACTCATTTCAGACAGGGCGGCTGCTTTGCGGCTCTCGGGGGCCGCGTGCCCCTCCTGCCCACCGGCTGTGCCACCCTTGGCCACGTCCCTGTCACCAGCACCTGCCCTGCGTGCCTGCTTCTCACTCTTGCTGCCATCTCCCACATTGGCAGCGTTCAAGCCGGCATTGGTTCCACCACCCTTGGACCCAGCAGGACCCAAACCGGTGGCTGCGGTGGTGCTTTTGGGCATAGAGCTGCAGGCATGGCGAGGCGCGCTGCTCCCACTTGCTGCACTCTGCCCGTTTTTGACACTCTGCAGGTTTAAAGCTTGGAGGTTCAGCTCCTGGCTGGATGCGTGCTGCCCCCCAGGCGCAGAGGAGCTTGTGGGCGTCTTGCTGCCATTGTGCAGCATTTGGGCTCCGGTGGTGAACCCCGATTTCTGATCCCCTCCGGTGCCGCTGCCAGGAACCTTGGTGGTCTTGGCTCCCTGCATGGACAGCCCCACCTCCCCCGCTCCTTTCTGGTTCCTCATTTTTAAGTCCAGCCCTAAGCTACTCTTGCTGGATGCCTGTGACTTCAGCGCCAGCCTTCCTAGCGGCGAGGTTTCGGCCGAGCTCTGGTTTTGAGACATCCTGTTCATGTAATGCACGATGGAGCTCTGCCAGCTGATGGCCCGACTGGGGCTGCTGGAGCCGCTTTTCATCGCACTGGGGATGTTTTCTGCCGAGGATCCCCCGGAGCTGAGCCCAGCCAATGCACCCGGTGGCTCCTTCAGCCCAGCCAGCCCCGTGCCCTGTGTGCCATGTTGCGGCTGCAGCTTGCCCAGCAGCTTGCTGCTGCCCCCCACCTCTTTCCGGGATGTCTTCAGCACCTTTGTCAGGTTCACGGTCCTTCGAGCTGCTTTCTGCTCTGGGGGCAGAGGTTTCCGCCCACGTTTCTTTCTGGAACTGTCCTTCATTTCTGGCTTTGCCACCAGGATCTGAGCTTTTTTCTGCGGCACCGGGTGGGTCTCTCTGCTGCGGGGACCTCTCTTTGCTTCCAGATCACTTTCATCCTCTTCATCAGAGGAGGAGGAGGAGGAAGACGTTGAGGAAGAGGAGCTGCTCGACTTACTTTTCGAAGGCATCTCTGGTTCCTAAGAAGCAAATGGAGAGGGGCATGGAAAAAGTCACCGCAAATGATGGAATCACCGCTGTGGGCATTGCAAACCACTCAGCACCGTCCAGCCAGGCACTGCAGACAAGCAGGTTCTTTCCCTGTGCCATGAAACCAGGCTGACCTGTGGTGCTGGTGGGACACAGGGGCCAGGGAACACTCCCATCTCCTACACCCCACCGGATCAGTGATGAAGAGGAGTCCCCCTGCAGACACCCCAGCACTCACCACGTGTTTCCTGGGTCTGCCCCGTGGCCGCTTGCCTCTCTTGCGGTTCTGCACTTCTTTCTCATGTTCCCTGAAAGAAGGCACTGCTTAAAGACAGAGCTTGCACGACAAAACAACACACCACAAGCCCAGCTTGCTTCTGCCCTTTTTTTTCTCATTAAAAAGCAGCTTTTCAATGAAACACAAGCCCATCGGTGTGCACTGAGCTCCTCTATGTAATGCAGTGTGAGAAAAAGAGAATTAGAAACGAAGAGAAGGGCTCTACAAATGGTGATCTCCCAGCAAGGGTGGCTGTCAGGACAACGGGACGCTCTGCTGCTCAGCAGAGCCCTGTGACACGGGCAGAGAGATGAAAAGTCCCTGCATAAAACGTGGAGCTGAGCTGTATGGACTGCTGCAATGCATTTCCCAAAGTGCTCACAGAGCCATGTGCATGCATGCATCACCTTCCCAAGGGCTGCCATGGCATTTTGGTTCTGGAGGCACCTCCTAAAACCAGCACTGCTTTTTGTGGTGCTTTCCAAGAACTTTGTGCCCAACATGGCCCTGCACCGGGACCTGAGAACGTTCTGCACCCAGAGCTGTTCATCTTCATCCCTATTCCCTACAACAACACTGCCCCAGCAAGAAGTTTCCAGCACTCAGTGACACACCGCAGCGTGCCCCATCCTGAGCAGCAGCTTTTCCTACTCTTGCTTTTCCTGCTACAATGGGAACGGGCAAACGGAAGCATCTGAGCTGTCTGCAGAGCCCTTCCTTGTTGGTACGCTCAGAGCTGAGCTTCCCCTCTGCAGCAAGCAGCAGCCTGGCCCCCCTGCAGAGTGAAAGCAAACGCCTTCCCCTGTGCTCGTTTCACCTCTCCACCCTCAGCCCTACAGGCTGGGCACAAAGAGCACTGCTGATGTTCCTGTGCTGTGTGGTGTTCCTCCATTCAAAAAGGGCAGCGCCGAGCTGCAGCGCATGCTGCTAATTGAACAGCGCGCTGCCTGGGATTTAACCGGCAGCTTCCTTCCGTGAAGGGGGAAAAAAAAAAAAAGGATCCAGAAATGAGCTGTAATTAAATCCTATCATAAACTTTAATGATTTTTTATTAATACGGAGCCAAAATATTTGGCAGCGCTGCGTTCCTTGCAGCCAGCTGGCTATTCTCTAGCCCCAAGCCTGACGCCCGCTGTATAATAGCTGCAGAACAATTGCAGCTCGGCTCAGCGGAGCAGCCCCGGCTCTGGCAGAGGACACCATTTTCTCCCACCCATCAATTCCTCACTCCTCCCAGTGCTGTGCCCTCCATAAACACACACCGGTGCTTTTCTCACCGCTCTGCAACCCGGGCACACAGCCACCCCCCGGCACAGCCCCGCTGTGGGATGGGAGCACGAGCTCTGCCGGGCGCTGCCGTGCGCCCATTGTGCAGCAGGAGCACAAACATATTGTGCACAGGGCCATAAATCCTCCGTGTTTACCCAGCCCTGGGAGAGGCGTCCTAGGTGGACCTGAACGGTAATTTCAGGAGATGAACAAAAGGGCCGGGCCACAAAAAGGCACGGGAAGCTTCAGGCTGTTGTTTCCACAACTTCCACCGCACGCGTGGCCAATTAGAAGTTAATTGACTTTATCGTTTGTTAAGAAATATTTATAGTTTGCTCACTTCTTTTGGAAAGCGAGGAGGAGCCTTGGATCAAGGATGTTCTCCTCGGGTTCCCAGCTGTTGTGCCTGGAACAGAAGATGCGCGCTGGGAGAGAGTGGGAGACCGATGCTTCCCCCCCCCCCCCGCACCCCCAGTACCGGCCGGGCCCGGGGAGTTCATCTGAGGACAACCGGGTCGTGGGGCAGCCCTGCGATGGGGACCCGACGCCCACGGCGGCAGAGCTGGGGTGGGGACGGCCGGGGAGGAGACGGCCGTGGACGGAGGGGGAAGGAATGGCCGGGGATGGCCGCGGATGGACGAAGGTGGCCGGGAGGCGGGGAGCCGAGGACAGAATGGGGATGGGTGGGGAAGGGACGGCCGGGCAGGGAGCATCGCGGCAGAGGCGGCGCGGAGCCCCCAACCCGCGGCAGAGGCCCGGGCCGGGCAGGCCGGGGGCGGCCACGCCGCCGCACCGCGAGGCGATCCCCGCGCAGCGCGGGCAGCCCCGGTCGCCCGGCGGGAGGGGACGCGCGATCGGTGCTTGTGCTCGGAGGGGCGGGAGGGGAAGGGGGGGGGGGGCCCGGGGGGGGGGGGGGAGCCGCCCCCCGCGGCGACGGGGAGGGCCGGGCAGCGTTATTTGTAAACAAAAGGAGCGGCGCGGCCCGAACAAAAGCGGCCGGGCGGCGGCACCCCGCGCCCCGCGCGCTCGCCCCGCTCACTTGGAGGACCAGCCCCGCCACTTGACCAGGTACTCCAGCTTGCCCTGCGGAGAGAGGCGGAGAGACGCGCGTTAGCGGCGGGAGCGGCGACGGCGACGGCGGCGCCGGGAAGCGGGGGGGGCCCACCTTGCGGAGCCGCTTGCTGAGGATGCACTCGGCGGCGAAGACCTGCTCTCCCACGCTGCTCAGCTCCTCCATGGCGCCGGCCGGCCCCGCTCCGGCCCCGCACACACACACGCGCACACACACACGCACACACACACACGCACGCACACACACACACACACACACACACACACAGGGGGAGCCCCCGGGCGCGCCCCCGACGGCGGCCGCGCGCGCCCCCGCCCCCCCCATCCCCGCGCGCCCCCCGGCACAATGCAGCGCGCGCGCCCCCCTGGGGGGGGGGGAGGAAGGCAAAGGGAGATGAGGGGGGGCTCCCCAAATTCCCCGCCGGCCAATGGAGAGCGGGGGGCGGGGCGAGCCGGCGGGGGGTGGGGGGAGGCATTGTCTGCGCGACCCCTCCCCTTCCTGCAGCGCGGGGACAATGGGGCGGTTCCGGCTCGGCCCGGCACCGGGAGCGGGCGCTGGGCTTTGTTCCGATGGGCGCGGGGCCGGGGGGGCGGCACGGGGCTGGGGGGAGATGCCGCGGCGTCCCCGCACACGCCTGGGGTTGGCGAGAGCCGGACCGACCCCGCGGTCCCGTATCGCCTTTCGGAGCATCCGGAGAGGGGGGGAACCCTCCGGGCCGGAGGCGTTCCGCACACGCCCGGCCTCGCGGTGAACCGGAGTTGTGTTGTTGTCACCGGTTCTGGCTCTGAACGGTTCATTGCGGGGGGAGCGAACCGCGTTTCACCGGGGGGTGGCAGCCCGGCAGCGCCCGGCGCGGCTTCGTTCCCCGCGACTGAGCGACGCGGGGCAGCGCGGGGGGCGTGGAGCAGCGGCACACGGTGCGTTGCGGGCATGGGAGGAGATGAGTCAGCACCGCGCGGATTTCGCAGCCGCGGGCCCGGAGCCTGCGGGTAATAACCGTGCGGGAGAGCCACGGGGCGAGGAACCTCCGCAGCCCGACCGCCTCGGGTTGAGCGGGCCATGGCGTGTCCCGCCCGCCCGCAACCCGGGCCGCCCGTGTCGGGTAAGCGATACCGGCGTCAGAATCCCTTCTGCGCGCACCTCCGGGCCCGGCGTGCCGCTGCATGGAGGGAGGGGACGGAGCTGCCGGGAGGTCGGGGCGCTGCGTCCCCACCAGGTGCTCAGCCGACGTCGGGTGGTGTCACAGCTGATTGTTTTCTTTTGGCTGTTGATGTTCGCTGACAAGAAGAATGGTTAGAAGCGTTTATTTATTTATTTATTTATTTTTTTCAGCCGAAAGTGATGTAGAAATATAAGAGCCGGCACCGCAGCTTTTAATTTTTTTAAGTTAATTTGGCTTTCGTCGGCTCTGGTCTTTGTGTGCAAAGGAAAAAACGACCATGTGAGAGTTTCCATCCTGCACACTTTGGCGTTGATGCTGCTTTGTGTTGGCACTGGGCAGGGATGTGCAGGGCCTGAACTGCCTGTCAAGGAGCACCGAGGGAACGATAAGCCTGAGGAAATAAGAACGCCGAGGAAATCAGCCCGTGTTCCTGCAGCGCTGGGTGGGCTCCGTCCTGAGGGTTGGCTCACCTCAGTGTCGGTGCTGTTGAGCTCCTCTGCAGGATGCAAAAATGCGATAATGGGTTTCTTCCTTCGCAGAGCGCCGAGGGAGAGGCTGGGTTGGGTGTTGGTGCTTTGTCTGCCTGAGCATGGGAGAAGCTGAGGCAGGGAGGTGGCAGCAGAGCTCTGGGTCTGCATGGGGGCTGAGCGTGTGCCGTGTTTGCAGTGCTGTGTCCGATGAGCTGTTGTTCCTGTGTGACCCTCCTGACCAACGCCATCCCTTTGTTTCCACAACCCACATTCCTGGAATGCTGTGCATCCCAGCACACCGTGTGTGTCCCACACCGACTGAACTGAGCTCCCGTTGCCATCAGTGGGGAAAACTTTTGTGTTGCTCCACTGTCGCTTTGCTGAGCTTAGAGACCTTTGGGTCCCATCCTCACAGCTGGGAGCTGCGTGGTCTGCATTGCAGTGCACCCCCCTGGCACTGCGGGGTCACCCCATAGTGATCCCAACCCTGTGTGGGGATTTGCTCCCTCAGCATTCCCTGTCTCGGTGGTGGCTGGTGTGGCGTGCCAGCTTCCTCAGCTCAGTCCCAGGTTTCCTGTTATTGGATGGCTTTAAGCTCCAGAGATGGAGCTGTGTGGTCAAATGACAAATCTCACCACGTGTGCCTGATGGGATCAGGACAGTGAGAACCAGAGCACCTTAAAAAAAAAAGAGATGCAGAGCCATGACCTGACCTGGTGGAATATAATTTTATAGCTCTTCCCAAATATGTCAGACATGCCATGCGTGGGGGGGCCGTGGTGGTGAATGGGGCTGCGCTGTGCTCAGGTGAGGGAGGAGCGTCTGCACCCACAGAGCAGAACCTTGGGGTGAGGTTGGTGGGGTGGATTACAGGATGCTGCAGTGGGCTTCAGAAGAGTGTGGGTGTTTCTGGACAGCAAGTTGGGTTTTCACAGAGGTGAAGCAGCGTGGCGTTTTGCTTTCTTGCTCGCCAGCCCATAGGAACACACTGCAGCATCCGGAAGCTGAAGGTGCAGTTACATTCCCATTGGTAAAATATCAAATAATTCAGCTTGGCTTTCCTTCCACCAGCAGTGTGAGGTCGTTCCCACAGCCCACAGCTCTGTCACCTGCATGGAGGTGGGCAGCCACGACATCATGCATGATGTGGGGGTGTGCCAAGGGCACAAAACTCCCCTGGCTTCAAAGAGTCAGACTGGGGAGGGGGAGAGGTGTGTGCCACTGTGGCCATATTTGCTGTGGGCAAATGCTGGTTTTCCTAAAGCATCGGTGAATTGAGGCATGGAGGTCTGCATAGCATCAGGCTGAGCACAGATGGGGATGGAACTGTGCAGCTGTGTGACATGGAACAGCAGAGAGCTTCTGCTGCTGGGTCCTGTGGTGGAGTGTGGGGGCAATAGGGGTGCGGGCCGTCCCCCAGAGCAGTAATTTTCCTGCAAACTGTGTGTGCCAAAAGAACATAAATGTATGTATGTCGATGTTTGTTGTTATGTTACCATCTTGGAGCAGTTTGGACCCCTGGGTAGCAAGCATCTTTCTAGTATGGGAAAAAGAAAGGGGAGCAAATGGTGTGGAAATGCATAGCAAATTGGGATGCAATGCACAACAGGCCTCTCCCTGCTGCGTGACCCTCAGCCCTGGGGAGGGGGGGGGGGGGGTGGTGGGGAATGAATTACGTGGGGATGGAAGGGGGAGGCACAGCGCAGGGCTGAGCGGCTGCAGGCAGGGGTTTGGCTGTTGGCTGGGGTTGAAATGTCGCACGGTGAATGCGTGCGAGGTGTGAGATGCGAAGAGAAGGGCTGGGAAGGACGCAAGGACAACGTCTGCGAGGGCTTCGGGTTATGGAGTTTGCATAAGGAGAAGCCGGGCTGGGAATCGTTCCGAGTTCGGGCAGCACCTGGGCGCAGCTCACCCCCCACCCCCATCACCTCCGGGCCTCTCACAGCTCATCCGGCACTGCGGGAACGGAGCGGGGCTGTGCGGGGCTGTGCGGGGCCGCTACCGGCAGCTGAGCACAGCGCGGGGGCCACCGCCCGCCGGCACTCGGAACTGCACCGGGACGCGCACCGGGCGCAGCGCATCGCTCCGCGTCGTTCGGCCTCCCGCTCCCCTCCTTCATCGCGGCCCGGGGGGTGGGGAAGGAGCGAGCCTTGCTCTTGCTGGTTCCGAGCTCGGGGCTGGGTGTCTTCTGATGCAAATACGCAAATTCGACGCTTCCTTCGTTTTTCACCCCTGCTCGAAGTCGAAACAGTGACTCGGGGCTGCGGCAGCGCTGCGCTCACTGGGGCGGCACCTCCAGCCTGGAGGGCTTTCTGCTGGACATCGCCCTGTGCAGAGTTCACAGCTGAGGCAAACGCCAGCCTTAGGTAAGGGGTCGGATCAGGAAGGCTCCCACTGTGCTCTGCTCTGCACTGTGGCCACATGGGGACCCTTGGCACCGCTATGCCTCTTTTGGCTGTCAGCTCCATGGGGTCACTGGGACCAGCAGTGTCACCTCAGCCCTGGCTGCCTCTGCCCAGGGTGGAAAGCCCCAAGGTCACAGCAGGATTACTTTCAAAGTTACTGTATTGATATTATTTTAAATAATATTTGCAGTGCCGGCCCATGTGGCTCCCCTTGCAGAGCCTCCCCATTGTTTGCCTAATGGACTGTTTGCTCTGCATGCTGCTGGTCTGACCCCCACCCCCAATATGGTTTCAAGCCAAACATTTTCTTCCTGTTGTTTTGTTTTTTTTTTTTTTTTTTTTTTTTTGAGTGAAGCGTGCGTCTCTTGTTTCATCTTATTGGGTGAAACCAACGCAGGGAAGGCAGCTTGAGCAAATCTCTATGGCAACAGATGTTTATCGAGCCCCTGAGATGAGGCACAGAGTTGGGGAGAGGCACTTCAGCATCTGGGACGGGGTCGGGGCAGCTGCCATGCTGATGCCCCAGGCAGAAGGGCAGCGCCAAGGACCCTGAGATTGCAGAGCTGTGCTGTTCCCTGAGCCCCTGGGAGAGATCCTGGGCTGCTTCCTGCAGAGGATAAAAGTTTGGCCTTGTATAATGGCCCCATGCACCCATGGCACATCAGCCCTGTGCAGAGCAGCACCAGGCAGGGCTGACCCAGGTGGGCACAGAGTCTGCGTGGTCCTGGACTTGTGAACCACAGACCCTGGGTGTTTGCTGTGATCTGGTGTGTCCTGACTGTCTCTCCAAAAAACATCAAGGATTAAAGCTTGGTGTATTTTTCTCCCAGAGCTTCCAAGAGCAGCATCTACAGCCCAGGGTGAGAGCTGTTGGTAGGCAAAATTTTGTGGGTATGGCTCTGCAGGATGGCACCCAGAGCCTCTCCCGTGTGCTGTGGGTTTTGAGCTTGGGGTACCTGGGTTCTGTTTGCCCATTTTTTTACTATAAGCCATAAAGCCAGAAAGTTTGGTTAGACAAATATCTGCAGCTCACAGAGGCTGCAGGGCAGGGGGACAAGTAAACAGGAGGACTGGTGGTGATACTGCTGCTCTGTGCAGCAAGTTGAGCACCTGTGCAATTCAGAAACCTGTGCTCTGCAGAATGCAGCTGGTGGGCAGTACCCAAAGGAAGGAAGAGCAAACAGGGCACGTGCCTAAAGAAGGCAGCACCTGCATAGAGCTTTCTGGCCGTAAGTAATTACCTCTGGTAGGGGTTAGTATGCTCCTCCCCAGCAGCTCAAGATGAGAGCGATTCCCAGCATCACTGGCAGCTTTGTTGCAGCAAGGAGAGGAGCGCTGGAACCTGCAACGCCGAAAGTGCAGCATTACCCTGGTGGCGGGTGGCTGAACTCAATCAGGGACTGGTGCAGGGAGCAGCCACCAGGCAGGAGGTAGCCGCGTAACCTCCTGTTCCTGACCTCTACCGGCAGCATAAAGCCTTGCTTTTGGTGTCTGGGCCACTTGTAGGCATTTAGAAGGAAATGTAGAAGGGCAGACTTGCTGCGGGGAAGCGGGGCTGCGCGGGGAAGCGAAGCGCGGGGCGCTCCTGCCGGGGTGCTGCGGGAGGCGCCGCTAGGTGGCGCTGTCCGTGCGGCAATGCGGGGCTCGGGGCGGCCGCGCCGTTGGGGCTCGATGAGACGCGGGGCACGCGGGGGACTCACGCAGCATCGACCTCGTGGCGTCCAGAGAACCGTCGTGAGGTTCCGGCGCGATGCCCAACAGCTCGCAGAGCAGAGCGTAGACGTTGACGCTTTCGAACGGCTCCGCTATGAGCCCCTGCTTGAAGGCTGGCCCCACGGCGCGGAAGATGGTTTTCATGTTCATGGCTTCGTTGTCAAAGCCGTGCTCTCCCGTGTTGAACTGCACCTTGTATCTCTGGAAGGCAGACAGATGTGAGTGTCCCAGCTCTTCAGCCCCCTGGGACGTGGCCTCATGGAGGCAGCGTGCCCTGCCTGCTCCCTCCCTCCAGGTCCCCGTGTTCTTCAGTCTCAGGGTATAACCACCCGTCTGTGGGGAGATGGGTCAAAATGAAGGCATAAAGCCAGGTAGGTTCTGATGGGCTGTGAAGAGGAGAGGAAGAAAGAGACAGATCCAAGAAAGGCAGTAAAGTGCGTACACATGCATCTTACCCCATGGATCACATATCCTGGATCACTGTACATCAAGAGTGGGGTGATCCGGGGATGGTTGGCATAGTGGAATCTCTTTGGAAACTCTTCTTTTTTGTACACGTGTAACTTTGGGTGGGCATTTTTCAGGACTGAATACACGTGCTCTAATTTCCCTTCTTTTGGTATCAGCAGCCCGTTGGGTCCGTAATCTAAGAGTTCAAACTGGATGTCACTGAATGTGAAGTTCTCGACATTCCGGAGGTGGATCTCGTCGCTCTTTATGACCGTCTCCATGCCGTGGTCAGATGTGATGATGAGGTTGAGGTTTGATTCCAAGCCGCTTTCCCTGATCCTCTGCCTTAAGTAGCCGATGGTTTGGTCCACCTGGCTGACCATGTTTCTCCTCTGCGTGGATTCGGGGCCGTATTTGTGTCCTGTTGAGTCTGGCTCACCAAAGTAGAGAGTGATGAAGTCGAGGTTGTTCACTGTAAACCATTCCATGGCAGTGTCAATGTTCTGTCTCCAAACGGTTTCGTTGCTGTAGTTGAACAGGGGAGGCTCCACCAGCTTCAGGCTCACTTCTTCTCCTTGATATTTTGCTTTTGTCCCAGGGAAATGGATGGAGCCTGTCTTTAAACCCTGTTAGTGAAGATGTAATGTGAACTCAGCTGAACTCACGCTGCCTCACTCAGTTCAACTCAGTCAGTACAACTGCTGCCCATGGATGTGGTTGATTCATTCAGCCCCTTGATGTCTACCTCTGCCTCTAACAAAGTTTTCTTGCTCACCACCCGTTAAGAGTGATTGACTGTAAGCCCTGCCCTTCCCTCTCTGCTGGTTCTCTCATGACGTTAGCAACGCTAGTGATAACTTCAGACACACTGACCTGTTTGTACCATGCTAGCATTAAGGTGTGCTTTACTGCAGTCACGCAAGCACTCACCCTGAAGTCAATGGGTCCAATTTGGCAGGTAAACATAGCAGAGGTTTGTGTGTGGGGCAAGGTCTCATGTCCTGCCTTAAAGCCAGATCCAAAGCCTTTCTGCAGCCCTGGGTGAGGGGGGAGCAGCCCCCTGCACAGCCCCCCTGGGTGAGGCTGAGGAGATGAGGCCAGTGCACTGCAGAGCAGGGGGGCTCAGTCTGCTCCCTAGAGAGCTGGCTGGGCTCTTCTTAATGAGGGAGTAGATAACTTCTTTTATTAACATCTTAATAAAGCTGAAACGCACCTTTAATTTTTCTCTATTTTTAATAGGACGATCACAGTTCTACCTGCCGCTGCCTGGGGATTTAATTTTCTTTTTGCTGCTGTAATTAGCCCTGTCGCTTGCAGCAAGGAAGTCAGCTGCTGGCCACTAGAGATCGTGGCTCGCCCGTCGCCTGGAGCGCACAGCCGCAGAGCAGCAGCCCCACTTGCCTGCCTCTGTGCCGTGATCCAGATGGGCAGGCTGCCGTTGTCCCACCAGCTGTCGATGCCCTGCGTGGTGTAGTAGGGCAGCTTCACCCCAGTGCTGGTGTTGAACCACATGTTGTGGACGACGCCATGATTCTCCAGGTATTTCCCTGCCAGAAGAGATGGACAGGGTGAGGGCGAGCGGGGCTCAGCGAGCAGTGGGGCTCCCCAGCCATTGGGAGCATCCCAGGACCCGCTGTGGGGCTCTCATCCCTCCTGCAGTGCTTCCTGCCCTTTCCACCCCATTTAGGGTTCACCCTTCTGCCGTGTTGAACCCATCTCTTGTTGAAACCATCTCTTTCTCTTTCTGCTGTTGTTCACAACGGACGAGGTCAGCAGAAAGCACAAATCCCTGCTGCAAGTGGAAGGCCGGCCCTTTGTGCTGTTCCATTTCATGCTACTTCTGTTAGCCTGCTTCTCAAGGCTGCGCAGTTCCTTCTGCGTGACGTCCCAGCCCTCCTTTGTATCGACATCCCTCCCTTGCCTTTCCTCATCAGCAGCTTTCATTAGCATGCACCACTCTTTTATGCCAAGGTTATTAATGAAAATCTTAAATAAGATTGGCTCTGGCATTGATTCTGCAGGAATTCCCCTGCTGCCCTCCCTGCTGCTCGGCGCTCCTTTCAGCACTACCTGCTGTTGCCTTCCCACAGCCGGTTACTTACCCACATTAGAGATTTCATACTAATCTTCATCTTCTCCATCTTAACTAATGATTTCCCACGAGGCACCGTATCAAATACATTGCTGAAGTCCGGGAAGATGAGATGTGCTGCATCTCCCTTGTCTAAAAAATCATTTCCCTTATCAAAGCAGGCTGTCGGCTGAGTCTGCTGCCATTTACCTCCGATGAGCGCAGGTTCAGTTCTACCTCAACGCACCTCAACTCTTTTTTCCACAGCACGTATGTGCTAAAGCTCAGGGTGCCTTCAAGGCCGGTCCGTGGGCCGCCTGCTTGGCTCAGTAACTTTTCCTACACCCAACCCCTCGTTTGCCCTTTCCCATTCTGCAGGTCGGTGGCACTCACCGGTCAGCAGAGTGAAGTGGCACGGGCTGGTGAGGGTGATGAAGGCGGGGGTCATGTACCGTGCCTTCACCCCCTCTGCAGCCATCGCATCCAGGTTGGGGGTGTCCACGTCCTGGTCGTAGTCCCACCGAAAGCCATCGAAGGACACCAGGAGGACTTTGTCACGGCCGGATGCGTGTGGCACAGGGCTGCCTTTTGCTAAAGGGAGGGCAGCAAACAGCAGCACCAGGGAAGCAAACATCATCTTGCCCTTGAGGAGAGGTAGTGCAGACATCCGGAGCTCGCGTTAATATATGCAGGAGGGGACTAAGTTCAGCTCTTATCTAATCTTGCAATAGCTGATTGGGTGCAGGGCTTCAGCCAGGACTTCGTATCAGAAGGAGCCTCTTTGTTTTTGTCCGGCTGGAGTGGATTAGCTGGGACTTCTTCCCCCCTCCAACACCACATCTGTGCCTCCATCCACGATGCCTCGTGCTCATGGCTGTGATGTGAGGTTCTTCCTGTTGCTGAAGCATGAATGAGTTTTCTGCCACAAGCAGAACGAGGTGATGGCATGTGCTGGAACAGCCCAAAGGAGGATGCTGTCACCATGTTTGGCAGCCCATGTCCCCTCCCCATGGGGACCCCTCCGTGCTGCAGTGCCGGCCCTGGTCCCATCGCCTGCTGCGAAGCTCTGCTGTGCTGACATCCCATTTTATCACCGTCTGTAATTTTTATGACTTCTCTGGGGTTTTATCATTGCTGACGCCTCCTTTCTCAGCAAAACCAAGTTTAAGGCTTTTCTAGACTTATGTAACAGAGGTTGACATGGGTCCCCGGGGCTTGAACTTTCAACCTTTGTGTCTTTGCTCATCTCTCTCTCTCTGCTCAGGTTCTGGATGTATTCCTTGGCTGCTTCGCTACCCAAGTGCTGTGCCATTCTCCTGCCTCACTGAGCTCAACCATCTCTCCTTTGGTTCCCAGATCTGCCTGGGCTCATCCCCCAGCATGTCCTCTCCCAGGGTGAGGTGAGCAGATGAATTGTGCTGCCCATGGCTCTCCCTTCCTGGCCTTGGTACCCCTGAGCATCCCCCCAGTATTGTCCTCTCCATGAGGATATAGAGGCCTGCCAGACACTGAGGGGTCAAAGGGTTCCTTGATAAATATGTTATCTCCTGCCCAGCTCGGGAGTAGCCCTAAATATTCCACATGCTGATGTGAGGTGAGTCGATAAGTCCCTGTGCTGTTACTGATGAACAGCACGTGGGAAGGTCCTGATAAGTTATCGTGTCCATCTGCTCTACTGGGAAAGAGAAGATGGTACTGAGGAGGAGCAGTGCTCTAATCTCTAAGGAGCACTTAGTAACAGGAGTGTATAGAGGTGCATTTTGATATTCAGTATCTGTGGAGCATGAGGTGCAGATAAAGAACGTTACCTTTGGCCGCTCTACCTGGAGACTCTGCTGATCTGCACCTGGAGCTGATGCAGTTGATCTGGCACCAGCAGAACCCCACTCTCACCCTATGAGCAGCTGTGGCCGAGGGGCTGCCATGGCTCACAGACCCCTCACTGATGCTGCTGATGCTGCTGGGGCCGTGGGAGCAGCGCTGGGAGTGCGGCTGATGCTTTCACTGTGTGTGGGTGCCTGGGAGCTCCAAGCAGGAGCACTACCCATAGGTGTTCCCCACGGGGAAGCCGAGGGCCCACTGTGACATCTGCAGAGGTCTGTGTGAGTCACATGGATTTCTTTCTTTCTTTTTATTTTTTAAATGGAAAATAAAATTGCAACTTTTTGGGGAGAGCAGGATGAAGGCTGCCACTCGAGTTTCTGACAAGGATTTCATGCTTTGACCCCTGGGGCGGCCACTTGGCTCTGCAGGCACCATTACTGGCACAGCTGGAGCTGCTCACTGCTAATGGGGTGAAGGAGTGGGCACAGGTGAGCCTCACTGATTGCTGGGGGAGGGATGGGTTGCTTTATAAATGGGCGCCCCCCCCCCCCCCCCCACATCCCAGCTGCCTATTTGGTGCTGCCTTTCCCAAGCCTAGAAAGAGGAACCTAGCAGAAAGGGGAGTGAGGTGCAGACCTGGGTGTGTGTGAAGCTTCCAGAGAGGTGAGGAGTGGGGCCTGAGTGGGTGAATGGCTGCTGTCTCCTACAGGAAAGTAGTGACAGCAATTCTGGGTGCTTGGCAGGTTGGCTGAAGGCTGGAAATGGCAAACTGGATGGGTTGACAGAAAGGAAGGAAATATTTTTTTTTTTTTTTGCTTTGCTGCCTAGCCCCAAAGAGCTCCGTTTTGTACAGAGGTTACTCTGACCCAATGGTCAAAGCATTATGTGTGTAGCCCTCTGAGAAGAGGGAGAAGGAAGGAAAAGGGAGGGGAGGTTGCTAGGAGAGTGGGAAGGTAACTGAACAAAGCAGCTTGAGGTGTCCTGGTTTGCCCCTGTGTGTGCTTATACAGAACCTGCTCTTTCCTCTGATGTGTGGGGGGGTCTGCAGTGCTCCTCTGGGCTCCTGACACAGAGCTGTGAGTGTACCAAGAGCTCATTAGTGCTATTAAAGTACCCAGTGCTGGGACCTTATGGCTAAGACTGCAGTGCTGCCCCGGTGAGCAGAGCTGGGATGAGCTGTGCAGCTCAATGGCCTGGACTGCAGACAGAGGGAGGTGTGTGGGGCTGCTGGGGGGCTGGAAGCTGTGCTGGGACAGCTGGGAGGCAACAGGAGCTGAGCAGGATCAGTTCCCTGCAGAGCACAGCAGGTGTGGCTCTTTGGAGGGGGCTGTGCCCAGTGGAGGAGGAACCTTCTGTGTGCCCACCTGCATGCTGTAGGGATCACTGTGGGTGGGTGATGGGGAGGGTCTGCACTGTCCCCATCTCTCCAACAGGAAGCTCCTCCTGCAGGTGTTTGCCTGGTTGGCCACTGCTGGCTGGGCTGGGAGTTTTGCCATCTGCCTCTCTCAGGAGATGCTGTGCTTGCTGCTGAAAGCATTTGATCTGTAGGAATGTGTGAGTAATGCAGGGAGGGGGCAGAGCTCTGCCAGAGGGAACTGCTGAAGTGTGCCCAAGGTCAGGGCTCAAAAAACTATGCCCCTCTGCCCAGACTTGGGTCACCACACAGCTATTCCTGCAGGGCAATGATGGGAACGTGCTTTGTGCTGCCTGCAGTGATGAAGGGCTGCAGCACATCCTGTGGCAGGAGCCTGGAGCAGCCCCCTGGGAGAGGGGCTTTAATTTCAGCCCCCTTGGGTGCAAGGAGCTCTCCCCAGGAGGGACCCCAGGGGACAGCTGCTTGTCTCATTGTCTTCACACACAGACTCAGCCTTTAGCACAACCCCAGGCTCTAAAGCTCCTGAGACATCGCTGGTTATGTGTCTAGTCCCTGCAGGCTCACAGAGATCAGTGCTGCTTTTCTTCTCTGCTAGCTTGGTTCATCGAGGTCAGGCTCTGGCTGTGGGGTTTCAGCAGAGTGAGAAGCGGTGCAATGGGTCAGGATTGCAGCAGACAGCCTCAGAGGATGTGTGAAGGGAGTGCAGAGCAGTGAGAGGTCAGTTTGGTGCAGCAATCGGGTGCTGATGGAGTCCTGGGCAGCAGTGTGGTGGGGTCTCAGTGCCAGGCTTGGGGCCAGGGGTGCTACCCGTGTGGCTGTTGGCTCTGAATTTACTCAGAGGGTGAAGATCAAACCTGTCTCCTGAGGAAGCCTGTGTGTGTGATTCTCAACAAGCCCTGGCCTGGGCTCTGCTGGGGGTCTGAGCCCTGAGGAATGAGGTGGGAGTCCCATCTCTCCTGGCTGCATCCTGGCTCTGCTCTTTGTTGGGGACCCTTCCTCTGCTGCTCAGTTAAACGTGGTATTGACCACTTCATCAGAGCCTGGGGCTCTTTCTCAGCTTTCTTAGCTAATGGCTGTGTCTGCCTCCCATTGATCCTCAGCTGCAGAGCTCATTGATCAAGTACATTTCTTGTTATGCTTAATGGTATTTTACTCCCTTCTGTGCTTACCTCATGCCTGATGCTCACCCCGTGCTTCTGCCTGCAAGTGGCAGAATTCCCCAGGTCAGAGCATCATCCTTGCCTGTGCCAGCACTGCTTTCTTCCCCTTGGCAGCCCTGCTGCCTCCCTCTGCCTGGTTGGCCTTCCTTCTGCTTTTCCCATCTTCCTTTTCCTCCTGGACCATCTGCTTGTCTTCCAGTTCCTTGCCCCCTGTGTCCCTCCTCCTCTTGGTCAGTGGGATGCAGATCTCTCTCACCATCCCTCCCTATGATGTGGCACTAAACACAGCAGAAGGGTCAGCCTGTCAGCAGGTGTCATCCACTTGGGGACAAAAGCCACTCCTCTGTAAGATCAGCTCTAACTTTCCTGATACAGAAGGGCATTGTCAATCCAGAATTGGGGTTGGTCTTTCCCTGCTGTGCTGCCTCCTCCTGCAGCTCGCCCAGCTGGGGTGAGGTGCAGCAGCCTGGGCACCACGTTTCCTTTTGTCCTCCCCCCACACGAACACCTTTGCACTCCACGCACACAATGTATGTTGCCTCGCTCTGTGCCTCACCTCCTTTCAACTCCCTTGCATGCATCATTCAAAAGCCATAACATTATTGGGCATAAAATATTTACTTAACTGAGCTTTTTGCAAATATTCCCCTCCATTATTTTTCCTCCTTTTGGGAGCAGACACTGCTTCTCCCGTGCTCTCAAATGGCTTCTCTTAAATAATACAACAAGAACATATGAACACCCACCAGCCTTTTTCTTCCTCTAGAAATACCCGTAAATATAACGATGTCACCAATGCATTACAGCCACACCAGGCCCGTGGCTCGGGGGCACCCAGCAGCACAGGACCTGCCTGCGTTATCACCTCGCTGTCGTAAGAGGGGCAGGCAGGGATGAAGTTACCCAGGGAGGGAGCGTAAACGCACGAGAAGGTCTGACACGATGCACGGCCAATAATTAATAATAATTAATATTAATTAAGAACTGCTCCTTTCAGAGGCGGTGTCTGAAGTCCGGCCTCTCTTCACCACAGGCCTCAGGTCGCCTCCCTCCACGTGGCGGCTGCCGGCGGGGCTGCGGGCGCTGTCCGCGGTGCTGACTCCGGCCGTGGCCCACCGCGCCCTCGCAGCCGCCCTCCGCGCTCCAGACGGAGCTCTTCCCCCTTCCAAATTCCTCCTCGGTGCTCCCGACCCTTCTGCGAAGTCCGAATGTGCTTTAATGGCGTGCTCCGTTGCTCCCGATTGATTTGCACGTTGCTGTCAATACGTGCCTGGGGGTTGTAATCCTCTCTTAATTCCCCCCCCCCTC